ACACTGTAGAATGAATTCCAGGATCATAATGAAGCCTTTAAGCTGTGGATGCAGGATGAAGATACTAGATGATGAAGACAAGAGCTTCTAGCTAATGTGGGAGTGCAAAGGGAGACTGGCAGGATGCAAATAGGAGGCTGATGTGATTGCAGTGCTAAGCCAGTGAAGCCTTGTCTATACAAGCAGTACACATGCTATTAGAGAGTTTTGCACCCACACTCAAAGTAACAGGATGCTCAACATAAATTTGAATTTCTCATGTACAAAAAGACAGCTGCGTTAAAAATGGTTTTGTCAGTCTTGGTTAATGGTCTCTGAACACAACACGTGTCTTGTATATGCTAGGCTTCAGCCTCCTTGGGCTCAAAATATTAGCTCTTCTTTACATAGGAAAATCATTTCTGTACATTTACAACATGATTGTGCTTCAGTGACTCCCCTGTGAGGTCTGTTATTCTACACCAGCTGGGTCTCCATGCAATACACCGTCCTCCACTTCTGCTGTGTGGATGGTGTGCATCCATGCAGGGTGCTGGGCTTGACCACTTACTGTGAAACAGTCATGCCACTGTCACTAGCTGGAGTGATTTACTGAGCTGAACCAGCTCCTAAGTTAACCAGTTGTTTTTCCTAAATGACGTTTCCTGCATAGACACGGTTGGAAAAAACAAAAACAAAAAACCAAAACAACACACAACCTTTTGTAGCAGCTTTTTCAATAAGCTGGAGGCTGCAGAAATAAGGGAGGTAGAAACAATAAAGTGTAATGTGAAGAGTCTGTTGAGAAGAGCTTTGGAGCTGTGGTCAGATTTGTCTGAATCATGAGAAAAGAAAACCACAAAGCTTTGACCATATTAGACTGTCTTACACAGGTAAATATAAAGATTCTTTAAATAGATGAAAGATTATAATTATAATTTCAAAGAGGAGTAAATCATTACCCACACCCTTTGGCTCCCTACTTGAAGATATTATCAGATTAAAGTATGATCTCTTTCTGGATAATGAGGCAGGACCACAGCTGGTAAAAATCAGAATAGCTTCATGGACTTAAAACATATAACAGCAACTTACTCAGACAAAGCTGAGTTGCACTTGCCTACTCAGTTGTCTTCTCAGGTGCCCCCTCCTCCCAGAGTCACATTCAAGCCTTCGTGTGCCACAGCCATACACTCCAGCTAAAACAAGATGCTATTCAGAGACAGCTTCTCCAGGCCCAGGGAAGCCAGCACTTCAGAAAAATAGGCTTCGTATTTAAATGTATTATAAAGACAGTAAACACCACTAGTCTTTTGTTAGTAATGCTATCTCTCATCATTGTGGTTGTCCTTCAATTCACTGACAGAGCCAAAGGCTTCAGAAGACCAAAGGGACGGTTGTGACCACGGTCTCCATCTTCCCATAACCAAGGCCAGAGTATTTCATCCAATAAACCTTGTATACGGCCCTCTTGTCAGCCTTGAGCTGGAGATTGTATGGTGGAGACCACAGCAAGCTTGCTATGTTGTTCAAGTGTCTACAAACCTTCTCTTTTAAATATGCACTTTTTATTTTTAGTCAGAATTTGTCCAAAGTCGGTACAAACCACTCATTTGTAAGTCTTGAAGCCTTACCTCTTATTTTTGGAGTACTGAATTCAATGTGTTTATGACTGGTGTTCCAGAGTGCATTCTGCTGCGTAAGTGCTTGTGAAATGTCTATGCTCTACAAGTCATGCACATTTTAAATGAGAATACGCAGCTATCATTTTGGTCAGCTGATGCTGAAGATTTAAACTGGTAAGCACTGGTGTGCTTTCCAACCTGATAAACATGACTGATAGCTGCACCCCACCCCAAAAGAGAAGCATCAGCAACAAGTGGCTCTAATTTAGGTATTTCACAGGGCAGCAAGGTGCTCCTCACTTTTATTTTTATTTCTCCTGAAAACTGTCATGTATGGTCCACTCTCCTCAGAGTTAATGCTGATAATAGTTTAAATGACGGAGAGTTTTACTATTGTGGTCGTGTTAAGAATTATTTTTTCCCCTGCTTTAATTTACAGTCCAAACCCCTCCCTCCCAAAAAATCCTCCTACAGCTTTGCTGCTTAACTGGAACTTCTGTAGGCTTCCATAGAGATGCACTGTTTGTAGCAGATCCGAGTTCTTTCCCCCTTTCCTGCCCTCACTCTGATCTCCCAAACAAGCTTTAAAAAAATCCCCTGCTCACATCAAGGCTTTATGTCAACCTCAATGTCAGGTAAGTTTTCATTTTGCTGAGTCCGCAGCCTAAGATGAGGTGATCTAATAGCTCCTGCTGCCAGGATGGGGAGGTTCCGTCTTACCCTTTCCCCCTCCTGGCTGTACATTCCCACCGCTCACCCTGCACTGGCTCTGGGTCTCCTTATGCTGCCTTCGGTGAGCTGACTCAACTCATTAACCCAGCAAAAAACAAGTGGATGGTTTTTCGCAGGGCGGCAGCGAGATGTTTGGTTGACTCACCGGCTGTGATGAAATCACGTCCATTGTTATTAGCAGATCATCTTCTTCCGATAACAGGCAAATAGCTGCCATCACAATGGCAAGATATACAGATACACAGCTACAGAGAGCTGAGTCTTTGCTGCCACATATCCCTCTTATTTCACAGCTCTGCCAAGCAAGTGTGAAAAGCTGCTAATTCAGAATGAGCTACACATGCATTCAGCTCTGAAGAAAGTGACTCTAGAAGGGGCAGGGCAAAGGGTGTTTTCTAATCCCTTGGTGCTGGTATCAAACTTGCAGTTGAAATTTTTTTCTCCTTAAATTTTGACAAGACAAAAAAAAAATTAAACTGTTGGTGCAATCTACTTCTAATTCAGCATTTTGCAACCAAATTTTGGTGTGCTGCACCTGACAGAAAACATTCAGTCACGAGAAGGGTCACCAAGGACTGGTTCCTACTGTTTGTTATTATGTGTTGGCACTGCAGTAGTACCCTTCTTGGAATTTGACAAGGGAGAGGGACTGTCAGTACCACAAGGAAGTTATGACACATTCAGTACAGCAAAAACATAAAAGGTAGATTGCAAATGACCTCTAGATCAGTAGAGAAGGTACCTCATATTTTTTGCAGGTTTTCTTTTTTCTTTTCCTTATCTGTGTTTGAATATAGAATCATAGAATTCATATATGTGCATGAATTGTAGACATCACTAAGAGGTCTCCCAGAAGCTCCACTTAAACAGAGAATGGAACTTCAGCCATGATATCAGGACACTGTCACCATTTTATAGCTTTAAGTGCACAATCACACCATAAACTGCATTTTTTCCCCACTGCTTTGCTCTCATTTTTATTTGTGACAAACAAACTCGCCATGGCTGTGTCTTTCATAAACCCTGGTGGAAATGAGCCTGCTTGGACTAGTGGGGAGAAGCCACAAGATATCTAGAGATCTTTTAATTTGTTTGTTTCTTCTTCCTCCCTTTGTTGCTTGAGCTAATTTTATTTCTGCATGTCTACAATGATCCCTGCATGCCTGCCATTTTTGAAATTTTGCATTTTCATGTTGGCAAGCTCGACATCAGCCAAGCACCTCTCACTTGCACAATGGCAGTAGACAATGTGCTTTGAATTTTCTCTGCACACAAAGGTTGGTGACCTTTCCTTATTCACTTGCCTGTTGCCCTTCTGTCCTGTAGCTCACAGATAAGTCATTGACTGTTTTCTACTGTCAGTTCTGCTAATGTAAGAAGCTTCTTTTGCGTTTGATGTGAATTAACGCTCCTGAGTTCTGTCACATGAAAGTTGCCTCTAAAAAACTGGAGAAAATGGCAATGCTCTGCCCTCTTCCTCAGGGCTGTTAAAGGCTTTATCATGTGCTCAGTTCATCATTCCCCATTAAAATACAAAATTTTCAGCAGCAAGGAGTGGCTGGGTGTCAGGAGCTTTTTAGTCCATGAGTGTGTTTTAACCAGTAAATGTTACTGCCTGGATCATCTAGGGAACACTAATGGGTTCAACTGATCTCTATGGGGTTTCATTTAAAAGCACCTAAGCCAATTGCTTTGAACAAGTATTTGAAGTGAGATGTCTGCAGAGCACTTTCTATTAGCACAGAGGCAAAAGTTGGGCCCTGGGCTTTCTGGTGCATGTAGGAGCAGTGAGGTGATGGGCTGCAGCTGCAAGGAGGTGCACATAGGCTTCTGGGGCTGCATTGGGCAGGGATGGGCAGCACTGCCAAACAATTCTCACACCTAGTCTGGTGTAACCCAGGCTCCTTGGCAAAGAGCTGCAGAAGCAGAGCAACAGTCTGAGCACAGCCCTAGCCCAGATAGCCACGTTTCTGTCCCACCAGACTTCTTTGTTGTCCCTCTGCTGTGACATGGACATAACTAAAGACCTGTTGCTTCCTACTCAGAGATCACCCTTCACCTTGCTGCTGGACTACAGCTGCTGGGTTGTTGCTCCTGCAGTGCAGCATGTCCCAACTGATACCACATTGCTGTTTAGGGCTGATTTCTCCTGACCATGTGGTCCTGGCTGCTGGATCTTTCACTTTTGACGTCCTTGCTTGCTCTCCACAAGGGCTGAAGGCAAAATGGCCTTTCAAGAGCCTGCAGCAGCAGGATCCCATTGGGGAGGAAGGATGAGAGGTGCTGCTGAATAGAAAAAATGATGAATAGTTGGCTGTTATGAAAAGCTTCAAATTTCCTGCACAGCCCACTAAAATTGAGAAGTACTTTCTATTTAAAAAATAACAACAACAACCCACGAACTTGTTTGTTTTCCTGGTACGGGAGACTGACCCAGCAGTCTGACCAGGTGTTGACTTTGTGGCAGCCCTGAGGATCATCTCCCTGGTGCTCTTCCCCTGTCAGCAGTCAGATGGGAACCAGCCGTGATCCTGTTGTTTCAGCAGTGTGCTCCAGTGAGCACAGCTGTTACAGTAAGCACGTACACCAAGACAGAGAGACCTTCTTTTTGTGGCACAGAAAACTGCTTGGACATCTTCTGCATGACAGGAGATTTCCATTTACTGTTTTTAGCTCAGCCTTATTAATCACAGAGACATTTCTAGACAAAATATGGATCTGCAGCAGAACATAGGCAAAAAATTACTTCAGACACAGCTCAGCTGTTCTCATCAAACTTATTTTTCCGTATGCAAGTCCAGCTTCCTCTGTTTCATTTGTTATAATAATGTTTGCCTTCCCACATACTTTTCCTACTTTTATCTCTGTTTACAATCTCTTTTCTTATGAATTGTCTTTCTTGCTTAAGACAAATAACAAACAAAATTCCCTCTTTATTCCTTCACTTTTCAGTTTTGCAGTGAACTTTCTTGGGATATTTTCTAGAGGTTTCCAAAACATTGGTAAATGTCAGGTGAACTTGGTGCACCACACTGTCACCTTTAGGTTCCAGTCTTAGGTTGCTAACATGTGCTTCTGCATGGGCAATAGAATCTGAGGCTTTCACAGCACAGGTGTAAGTGAATCACCACAATATTAAAAATTGTTACAATTAAAACCTGTTGGAAGAAGGAGCTGGAAGGTTGGCAGGATATATGGGTGGAGGAGGAGAGTGTCTCTTTCTCTCTCTCCCTCTCTGCGTATTAAGTAGCCCAATCTATGGGAGAGAGAATTTCACAAGGAGAAAATGGCATGGGGCATGGAAAACAACCTCTATCCTGTGGCTACAGCACCTTCTATGCCCCCAAAACTCCCCACTTTGCCACCCCTTGTATCCAGAGTCTCCACGGACTTGGGAATAGCCAAGGTTCTTTGTGCTGTTGTTTTGCTGGGAGGAAAACAACTTTTAGTGTGGGAGGGTACAAAAATGCCGTCTGATGCCTGTGCCTCCCAGCTACTGGCATGTGCAGTAAATGAAGGTAGCACTGCCTCTGCTCTGGGGATCAGGCAAGGACAACAGCAGAGGCAACAGAGACTGGGTATGGCAGACCAAAGCTTGGCCACTGCACAAGGCAGTACAGAACATGGCACTAGTGTAGTTATCACAGACGCCATGATACTTTCGCCTCCTAGTAATTTTGCTGTCATTAGGTGCTGCTCATAATGAGAAATCATGATTTTACTATGGTTCTGGTATGTTGTCCATAATTAGCGAGCAGCCCTTTAATACTAATTACCTTAAGTATTAATTCCTTAAACATCAATTAAAAAAAATCACGTGAAAATTTACCTCTTCCTCAAATGAATCATGAGTTAACATGGGGGTCCTTACAATGCACTACTTAGACTTGCTTAATTAGTTAATCTCTGTAAAGGGGTTTCAAATGTGTGAAGAGCTATCAAACTGCTAAGTGCATTATCTTCAATTAATTTTGTGCAACTACATCTTCACTACCAAGAGGGTCTTTAGAGTGCTGAGGAAAGGAAAAGGAGACATTGCTTCTAATTTTAAACATAACTAATAAAAAAAAGGAATTAATTGAAAGATGATTTGACATGACGGGAATAATTGTGAACACACCATTTCTTCTGTTTCAGTCAGAGCTGAATATGAAAGAGTCATCATTTTTATCCCTCTTCTGCCTTTGCTAGTCTCTGGTTTCTTTGCATCCATCTTCCCCCTGGTCTTTCTGACTGAATGTTAACCCTCTCTCTTTCAAATTTGTTACTACTTTAGCAAAAATCAAACTAACAAACATAAAGGTAAAAAAAAGGGCAAATCACAACAAAACACTCTTCAAACTATGCAATCACTGAGGTTACATCCTCACACAAATAACAAGGTATCTCATTCCAAAAGAAGCCTCATGGACTTCCCTTCAAAAGAAGACACTAAGGGCCCAGAACAGAGCTTCTGCAAGAGAACAGGGCCAAGTCCAGCGCCAGCAGTAACATGGTGTCTCTCCATTTCCTGGACCTCTCTGGTAGCCAATGGAGATAAGCTCTTAATGTGTCTTTCGAAGTTTTCTATTCTCTTTAGAGTTTATATGCTGTGTTAAATATTCTCATTTTTCTTCACCAACTAATAATCTGATTCTGGTGGAATTCTCTCAAAATGGGTTCTTTCTGCTAATACTCTGTCTAGCTGGCAGCTTTGTTCAGGCCAACTACACTGAATTGGACTTTACCTAAAGAACCTATTTCCTGGATTATTTTTCTCCCACTGGGACTAGAAAAAGATAAGTACATTTTTTTTATTGCTGAGTCTGATTTGTTTTTAGAATTTTTCACTTGCCTTCTCTTTCTTTTTCAAGAATGATTAATCATCACTTCCATGCTGACTGCTGAGGTCCCACATGTTGTGAAACATTCAGGCAGCTTGTTTAATATCAACTTGCCTGAGCAGTAGTTATGAATAGCGTATCCTTCACAGGGCTTGGTTCATTTTTAATGTGCATTTGCAGTATATTTCTATCACATCTGGGCATTCACTCAGCAATGATTTGAAAACCTATTCATTTATCTTATTTTATCCAAAATAAACTGGAACATAGAACAGACTGTTTGATGGCCACAGCTTTATTCTCTGCATACGGTAAAGTAACAGCTTAACCTGTTGGATGAGACATTCCACTGGTAAGGCAGAGTTGTGTACACAGTGCTCCTCAACACCCCAAGTTCTCAGGGAAAGAACTTCTGCCACCAAACCAGTAAAACCTCTTCTCTCCAACCTCTCCCTAGTTCAGTTTTACAAAATGAACCAGTGGGGGATATTAATTGTTATCCAATCCAATGGATACTAATTTAGCTGAATGGCCTGATCTGCTCTAACCAGGCTATCTAGCAGAGGTGTAGACACCTAAGAGAGCAGCTTGAAATGGCGTAAGTTGTTATAGGGTGCAGAAAGAAGACCAAGACTATCACAAGCAGCAAAGAAAGTAGGTTCTTGCCCTCCCATACCTTCACCACTGTTTTTTTTGTACAAAAGCTTACAAGATCCTTTCCCTTCATCTGGTATATCCATATAGTCCATACACACAGTAGGAGATGGGTAAGCCAGAAGCTATTTAGAAAAATACAAATTGCCTTGAACCTCAGCCTAAAGCCCCTTCACTTTCCTTTCCTACTTGAAGGATTAATGTGATTACCAATGATCATTTAATTCTTGTGGGTGAATTCCAAAAGGAAGGGGTAGGACCATCTGAATACTGAACCTGAAGTCTGACTTCTCTGAGGGGCTTTTCCACAGAACAAACCTAATTGCAGGAAGTTATCAATCGTTAGCCAAAGAGGTGACAGGGCAGGGAGGATCCAGCAAGGTCTCAATTAACAGTTCAGGATTTTTGCTCCTCCCCTTCATGAAGGTGAAAAATAGGAGGAAAAAAATAATATTTTCTTCAAAGGTTTCCCTTTCATACCAACATTTAAAAAAATAAATTGCCAATAAATTAAGACAAAACCAAAACCCATGTACGTCCTGGTGGCCAGGGAAGATGCACTCCTTCTCTGTCCCTTGTCATGTCAGAAGAGCAGCTCCAGCTTGGCCCTCTGGGGCAAACTGTGCCCTCACAGGAGCACTGGTGTGACATAGTTGGCAGGGAAGAGACCCAGTTCCCCACGCAGACGTCCTTTCCACCATGAAGGGTTGGAGCTGTCCAGGACCTCTAAGATGTCTCCACTACGGAAGCCCAGCTCATCATGCTCCACAGCATCAAAGTCATACAAGGCACGGACCCATAGCGTTCGCTGGAAAGGAGAGAGAGATAGGCAGGGAACAATGAGCCAGGACTCTTAAAGACCATCTTCCTGTCACCCCTCTTAACTCCCAGTACATATGTTCACTATGAGAGGACGAGCAGTAATGAAATTTAGACCAACTTGCAATTAAACCAGGAAGTGGCCAAGATGCCAGGAAGTAGGAACCAATTTACTGGGACACCCAAGGGATGGTGCTTGGTTTCTCAGCAGCCTCAGTGTATTCATGGGTGTTTGCACGATAAGGTGAAAAGTCAGATTGAGAGCAGGTCCTTAGGAAATAGTGTTCTCATGGCTCTGTCACCTCTGCCCTGGAAGGGCAGCCATGACAGCCATGTCAGAAGCCAGTTATGGGAGCACAGAAAAGTTATGGGAGCCCTGCCTGAGTCCTGCAGGGCTGTAACTGTAAGTGAATGGCTCTGGAGAGCTGAGCTGGTGCTGGTACAGATATCAAAATGTGTCCTTGGCCAGCAAAGGTCTATGAGAGCCAGCACACAGGCGAGTCTAGTCAACATTGTGAAGAAGATATTTGCTCTTTCAGGCACTTCTGGGGGATAGGGAAGGGTCTTAAACCTTCTTTGCACTCTCCCCAAGGTCAGTCCCCTGAGATCAAAAGGATTTAGGATCTGTTTTGGTATATCAGTTTATTTTGGGTTTAATGTGCACTATGGTTAGATTTTTTTTCTTATGAGAGCTTAATTATAAGAGACTTTGCAGTCAGTCTCCCATTTTGGCCAGAAATCAGATTTTAAAGGACATAGCATGAGCTTCTTTCTCAGAAATTGTTGGTGCCCACACCACAGGGCATGGATAATTTGGGAGGTAATTTTGCAGGGACAGATGGAGAGATCTGTTTGAAGACAGACTAACCTTTGATAAATCTTCCATTCAGGCCCCTGCTTAGACCTGGCTCCTAGTTATTTGGTTGGACATATAGACCTTCTTATGACTGTATTTCTGGCTTCTAGATCACTGATGAGATGTGGCAGGCAAGGGTATGTTATTGATTGCCACAGCCTCTGAGGGATAAAAACCATTGTATTTTGAGCTGGATTATAATAAAGATTTAGGGATTTTGCCAAAAACAAACAAACAAACAAACCCCCCCAAACCCCGGAAAAGACGTGTCCCTGTTTTTTAGTTTGTTCCATATTTCCTAAACCAATCCAGTCACTTTCTCTCACACTCAAGAAAGGTCTGCTGTCCTTCCCTTCTCTCCTTGGATCTAGGTTTTCTGGTTGTTGTGGGCTAATCTGTACATTTCCTCAAGGAAGAGGAGCATTCCTTAGGTCACACTGAGCTGATGGAGAAATACTTTAGAGTTGGCAGTGGAATCACAGGCTGAGGCAGAGAAGGACACCATATTCTATATGGGCATTCATGTAGTAGGAATTTGCAGAGCAGGTGGTTACTTAAGGTTGACTGCGAGGTATGGATCCAGGTAGGGCAGTGGTCTGAGATGTCTGCAGATAATAGCTGGATCATGCCCACATCCTCTGTGTTAAGCTCTGACAGCTAAAGGTGTCAGGTAGGTGAGTCCCACTTTGATGGCATAGTAGGTCTGAGGATGTGCCAGGTATAGACAAGTAGAGCTGAATGATGACAGGCCTTCTCAGGACTGAGAAAAAATTAGTGGAAGAGACAGTGTGACTACAAGTGCATTTCAAGACAGAAAGAGTACTGCAGCATGGCACAGCATCATAAGGCAGCTCTCTGTAGAACTCAAAACTGCACTTCCAGCTACTGAGCTTAGTCACAGCCTGGGTGGGGTGGCAAAGATACTTCATAGTCCCTTGCATTAATGGACATGAAGCCCTCCTAGATCATTAGGCTTTCAGAAATGTCTTCTGCTGGACTGGACCCATGCTTGATCCAAGCCCACGGGTGAGCTTGTGCTCATGCCAGTGTCCCAGATGCCTATTTAGTTGAGTTCATGCTAAGTTTCTTCTTCCACTGAGGCTGCATGTTAACTAAGACTGACCTTGAGAGCAGTCCTAGAACTATGCTCATATAACACTGTAGTCCTACCCTCAAGAGTACCCTAGAAGCAGATTCAAGTGGCTGGGATAGAGTCTTGAGACTCAGAAACATCTTTTAAGATATGTCCTTAATATAATACTCCTCATGCAACCTCCTTGCAGGTGACATTGCCCAGACTGCTTGGCCATTGCTAAGGAACCCAGGCAGATGGGACCTTCCAGGTATGTCACCTACCGGTGTCTGCTGGTGCAGTGGGTCTGTGTGTCTCCGTTGCATAGCTCCTGCATTTCCTTGGCCATGATCCCTTAGTCCATGCAGCACATCTTTCCTGTCCAGACTCCCACCATATCTTTCCTAGAAAGAAAACAGCAAGAAAAAAGTCATGTTGTCCTGGTTTTGGCTAGGATAGAGTTAACTTTCTTCCTAGTAGCTGGTACAGTGCTGTGTTTTGTATTTAATATGAAAATACTGCTGATAACACACTGATGTTTCAGTTGTTGCTAAGTAGTGGCTCACTCTAAATCAAGGACTTTTCAGTTTCCCCTGCTCTGCTAACGAGCAGGTGCACAAGAAGCTGTGAGGGAGCACAGACAGTACAGCTAACCTGAACTGGCCACAGGGATATTCCATACCATAGAATATCATGGCAGTATATAAACTGGGGGTAGTTGGCCAGAAGAGGCCAATCTGGCATTGGAAGGGGCTCAGGCATTGGAATGGGCTGCCCAGGGAAGTGGTGGATTCTCCATCCCTGGAGATTTTTAAGATGAGACTGGATGTGGCACTTAGTGCTATGGTCTAGCAACCACGGTGGTAGTGGATCAAGGGTTGGACTTGATGATCTCGGAGGTCCCTTCCAACCCAACTGATTCTATGATTCTATGATTCTATGATCAGGGACTGGCTGGAAATCAGTCAGTGGGTGGTGAGCAATTGTATTGTGCATCACTTGTTTTTGTTGTTTTATTCCTTTCTCTCTTTTTTAAATTTCCTTTTATTATTATTATCATCATGATCTTTATCATTATTATTATTTTTATTTCAATTATTAATCTGTTTTTTTCTCAGCCCATGAGTTTTACCTTTTTCCTGATTCTCTCCTCACTTGCACCAGAGGGAGGAGGAGTGAGTGAGTGGCTACATGGTACTTAGTTGCCAGCTAGGATTAAACCATGACACATATATATGCTGAGATGTATAAATGAGGGGCTTTGAGTCATTGGTGAGAAGAGTGTCAGAGGCCAGCCCTCAAGTAAATAATTTTAGATATCTGCTTCCAATACTGTCCTAGTACTCCAGTTCTGCAAGCAGTGACCCTCATGGAAGAGGTCACCTTTGACTCTTCTATTTTGGATCTTACTTTCAGAAGTTGAAAGTTGAGTGTTCTTAGATGTGTATCACAGCTGCTGGGAAAAATGGCCTTTTTGGTCTCTAAGACTTTTGGAGAAAAACTAAGGTTGTTTTAACTCACAGATAAAAAGCCATGCTTGCCAAGGGGACTTTTGCCAATCTGGAGTTATTATGACCCAGTGCTGCCCACTCCTTGCTTTTCCTCTGTCCTATATGCTGGCAGGATGACAGTGATGCTGATGCAGCTGACCGTATCTGAGGACTTTACTTTTTCTTGGGCTGTTCCATGTTGCAAAGGACCGCAAGCAAGCCTGAGAATCTAGTAGCCAAATTAACCAAAGAAGAATGAGATGAAATCAGGTTCAAAGAAAAGTAGCCATATGACCACACATCTGAAGTCATATCAACACAAATCAACCCAGACAGATGGAGAGAGGAAGTAGGAAACATCTAGGAAGCAAGTTCTCTTTTGTGTGCACAGCTGAGAGGTGCTGAGTCTCTTTATCCCCCTGGGCCCTTAGTGCAGGCACTAAGCTTTTGTTTTTGTGATAAGAGTGTGACAGAACCTTAAATCATGTTAGCTCAGATTGCAGTAGTGCTTCAGAGACACAGGGTCTGATGAGCTGTGTCAACAGGGGGGAGAAAGAACAACAGCTTGTGCTTGCTGTTGCTTGTAAACAGCTTTTGTCCTATCCCTCTTGCCGCCTCCTTTCCTACAGCACTCCTCCAAAAACTCCCTTGGTGCCACATGTGCCTTTGTCAGCCTAAAATGTTGCTGAGGCTGCCTGAAACCGGAGCACAATTTGCACCTCACCTGTCTCTGCCAGAAAGAGGGTGAACTCAATGTGGCTTTGCAGTCACAAGACTTACTACATGGGTGCTTCACTCCTATGAGTGTTTCTGCTCCATATAGAATGTGACTCATGAATAGACTGTGCTGCAAAGGGTGCAGGCACTCAACTTTGTCAGAACCTGTATTATTCCACCAGCAGTCCCTTAACAGGCCACACAGCTTGTCTGACGAGAGAACAGCTATTTCACCATTGCCTCTGGCTTTGCTATATGTGAGCTCTCATGCCTTAAGGGACATTTTGGATTTCTTCCCTTTAGTAAGAAAAAGCCTCTCCTTGGATGATGCTACGCTGCCTTTAGCTAGAGACATGAGCCAACTCCAGGAAAACTATTCCCCAAAAATTAACCAGGAAGAAATTTGAAAAACAGCACCAGGTACTGCTGTTGTTTTCTCCATTCCTATGCAATCAAAGGAGTAAAGAAACGTCACACATCAGGGAAGCAACATGATGAAAGAGTGCAGAGAGGACCCAGAATAGGGCGGAGGAGAAGGAATGTTCTGGGGGAAACCAAACTCTCCTAGGATAACTATAGTAATTTCTTATCCCTGTGATGTGTTTTGTGGTGCTGAATGTCAGTAGCATAACTCAGAAAAAAGAAACAGACAGCAAGGTTTCATTCGTTCTATAGACTAGAGACGAGTTCCTGAAACCATGCATGTGTGTGCAGTGCAAGATTTGTGAGCATTTTCCTGCACTCTCACTGGATGATACTTCATGTCTTTTCCTAAGCCAAGTAAGATCATGACATCATTGCTTGTTTTCCAGTTTTTAGGATGGGGCACCAAAACCACCTGAAGGGTACTCCTAGGTTCCCAGTAAAAGGGTCACTGCACACTTCTATTTTTTCTGGTTTGTCAGTCAGTCAGTCACAGATCGCAGAACTAAATAAAAGCCCGCATATTCATTACATATCAAAAAATGCCCCTAGGCTGAAACCATCACTGCTGCTACTCCTGTAAAAAGACCTGATTCTGCTTCCTAAAGCAGGTTGAGGGTGGCAGATTTTTGATAAAGCAACTGTTCACTTGCTACCAAGCAATTAAAGCCAATGTTTCCTGTGTCTGGGCTTGACATCCCAGCCCCTTGTTTGTGGCAGTACCTGTTGCTGCTGCAGTATGGGGATAGCATGCTCGACATATCTCTTGGATATAGAAGAATGATCTTCTCCAGCTGCTCCACTTAGGTGGAATCCTTCCCGGCCCATCCGTTCCAGGCTCCCACCACGCCTCTCCTGATGGAAGCAAGATCACAAAAGTGAGGTCAGCTCAGCAATCATTGCACAATGATCACTACCACTATCCTCTACTTTGTAGGCTCTTTCAAATAAACGATTCCATCCCTCTGAACAGGTCAACAAATCAGGAATCCTATATTTTAGATCTTTCTCATAGTCATTCCCCATCTGAAGACTGGGCAGTAATGGGAGGTGCTGGGCTGAAAATGTTGGTGTGAGGTCCAGCACAGGAACCAAGCTATTTTTTGAAATACTACCCTTAAACTTCATTTGTCTCTGCACAGAAATCTATATATTATGATTATTTTATCATATAGCTGTAGCATCTAGAAATTTGAATTGTGAACAGAAACCCCCCTGTGATGAGTACTAAACATACCCTGCTGAGCCCATCACCATACCAAAGGTACAGAGAGTTTGCCAGAGCAAACTTGACTTCTGTTCTTTCATTTGCGTGTCTGCATCTTGGAGCAAATGCATCTCTTTCCCTTCTTGATCACAGTCAGCCCAAACAGGTTGTTTTACTAATATACATGCATACAGCCTTGCTTTCTCCTTCCCTAGACAATTCTTCACTGTGATCTCTCTCACAGGTCCCATAGCCTCTATTTTATATCTTACTAATGCGTTTTAAAGCTCTGTGTAAGTGGTCTAGAAGGAGACAGCAACCCAAGCCCCTTCTTCAGAATGAAAAATGCATCATCTCACATTTGGAGCCAGTAAGAATGACCCACATGCAGCCTATAAAACTTTATTGCTGCAGTCAGCAAGTCACACACCTTGCCTCTAACTGCACATCCTGGTAATTTAATACCAGAATCCGTTTCCCAGTAAAGTAGGACTTTGGTTACTGCAGTGACCAGGCATGTTTGCTCCCAGTACTGTAAGTGCAATGCATAGCAGTCTCTACTATGTCATTTGCTTGTTCCCCTGGCACAAAACCAGGCATTCATTGGATTGGGATTTCTCTGCCTTCTGAAACACCTACTACACCTTCCCTGAAGGCACAGCTTGTTCCCATATCTGCTATGTTCTTCTCAGTAGTACTTTTCAGTTCCTACCAGCCACTGCTCTGGGTTCTGCCCTGTGTTCTTCCACACTCATTACAGTGTTTGCTTGATAGCAGAAGATGGACTATTCTTCTAAGCAGACAAACTTGCAGTTGTAATTTGCACTCAGGGTGCATTCAAGGACACTTAGGAAACCAGACTCAAATTCTTCTCAGTCACAACTACCAGTCAGCTCTGTACCTGCCCTTATGAAATCTAGGCATTTCAATAAGGTAAGTCCTGCTTTTCTTGGCTTTGTAAGGCATCTTAGAATTTCAGCTCTGGGATCTTAGCACAGCTTTAACAAAGCACCTCTATGCAGATTTGCAGTCCTGTCTATTGCTATCCAAAGCAGAATCAGAACATTCTGCTCAATTATTTAACTCTACATCCCACTGAATCCACTAAAAATCTGTGTTGCAGTGGCCACCAGTGTAATGATGTGGCTGGGTTTCCAAGGGCAGACTCTCCTCCCCCCATGCCAAGACATTCTCATGGGATGAATTCCTTCCACAGAAAGGTTTCTTACTGAGAAATTCCAAAGGATATTTTGTGTTTACCTTCTCTTCTTGACTGTTGTCCCTTAGGAATATCTGTTTCTGCCTGGAGATGGAATTTGTCTTGTAATAGTCCACGAGCTTGTTTAGCGAGTGGAATTTCTCTGTCCACAAGTAATAGTTACCCTTTGAATCCCTCATCACTTTGAAGTGTTGCACATCATCTTCATGCCTGGATCCAATTGGAAAAGTAAGAGACCATCAAACAGATTGCACTTCTACCTTTTTGGAAAAAGTCCTTTCCAGACGGGTACCAAAACTTCTTGCTTGGCCAAACCTAGACTTCTGGAAAGTCAAGCAACTGTCAGTCCTTGTGCATCCTGGACCCAAATGTGGCTCTATTTCAAAAGACTCATCAATTTACAAACACAGAGTGCCCCAGGGCTGCCCAGTCACAAAGCACTATCAGAACAAAGCATAGGGCTTTAAAGCCTCTCCTTTGAAATAAAGGCCAGAGGAGCTTCCAGGGTGAAGAGGCGCAGTTGTAGTCTACCCACCAACCTCTGCAGGTCCTGTTAGCATCCAGTCTGAATTGGCTATAAGAGATTTATTACACCTTTATACACCACGGGCATCGCCAATACATGCAGATACAGTCAGGTGCAGCCACACATTGAGTTTTATAATTGTATAAAATCTAGTGTGATATCATTACTACCAGTAATTCTCCCTACCCAAAAGAAAAAAAAAAAAAAGAAGGAATTTTCAGATGCTGACTCCTGTCCTGAAGTGCTGCAGTTACACAGGCTGTTAGTGTTAGAATGGCTTTGATTTAAATGCAAAAGCTCTCCCTTAGATAGTGCTGGGCCGTGGTTAAGGGGACAAAATGGACCAGGAACTGTTCACAGTGAGCTGCTTGAAAACAGGTGTTTGGTTTGGTGGGTGAAGAGGTTTTATCGGTACAGATCTGAGCTCTGCCACATTGCTTGACTTCAAAGCCAGAAAAGGAGCCTGACTGTACTTATTGGTGTTGGTATAAATGTAACCAGAATGTTTTCCTGCATTCCTCCCACATATTTTTTGAGCTTCCTGAATCAGAAAGTACACACTGCTTGGAAAAGACATTGTTAACCATAAGTCTAATTTAAAACTGATTATCAGTTGTTTGACTGAAAATTGGGAAACCATCATGTAAGAGCACTGCTTTGAAGCATATGCTCTGGGAAGGGCTGGGCTACAGTAAGTTGCTGAAATGCAGCTGGGCTGCAAGCAATGAAAAACCATTCCTTGTCCAATGGCTGTTTAGTGACCTGTGGGAAATAAGTTAACAATGTAATTGTAATCTCTTAATAGGTAGTAGCTGAATTCTTGGATTCAGTAACCAGAGCTGTCAGGGAATTGATACAAATGAAAGACACATGTTAAGCACTGTGGGAGACGTTCTATGTACCACTCTGCTTTGCTTGTAGCTCTTTCAGAGAAGCAGGTCACCAGGGGATGCAGGTTTGGAATGGGACATTCACTGTGTCACTTGAAAAGAGGCAGAAACATTTCGGAATCAGATGCCTAATTTGTTCTCATTCACAACAGCAGCACTGCCAATGACTGGCAGCATGCAAACTTCCCAAGAAGCTACGTCACATTAGCAATCCTGTCAAGAGGAGGCTAGGGACACCATTACACAGAAGAAGAAGCAGGAATATGCTGTGAGAAGCAGATACCTGACAGAGATGGAAAAGTCACCATGAGAATTCTGACTGGCACGGACGATGAAGGAGCCAACTCCTTTGCTCATGAGAAGGTTCTCTGCTTCATGGCGGGATATCCTCTCATCAAACCAGCTGTCAAGTGGGAAAAATCATGGAAGTGTGAATAAGAATGTGAATTAAGGTGAGGAATAAAAAAGTTGAGGGTAGGGAGAATGTGAATAAACAGGGTGGAGGAAAGAAAACAAAAGGATCAGAGGAGCCCACATGGCTACTCCCAGTGGCCATGAGTATGCTAAGGTAGAGGGTTTTGATGGGTGCAGACCATTTTCTTTGAGCAGTAAAAGCATGTAGATGCAAAGAGAACAATGTAAACTTTGGCCTGCTAAGAAGCAACACTCAGCTGAAACTGTAATTACAGGCATGGTACAATAAGGTGTTAGTCAAAGAAATTTTAAATTACAAATGTGTATGTATACTTACATACACATAATTCTCAGACATACATATCAAATTGCTTTTTGATAAACTGATTGAAAATTACTGGGCTGTGATGGATATATTGCAAGGGACACACATAAATTTTTAACAGAAGCGAACCATGAAAGTTTTAGTACTAATAAATTGGTTCCTGCAAGAGTTATAATACCACAAAATCTCAGAAGCACAGAATACATAAGCACACTTGTGCAAATTTAGCCAGGCATAACAAACAATAGTATCAGGCATTGGACTAATAATGAGAAAGTCACCATAAAAAGTAAAAGAATTTTTCAGTAGACAAAAAAAATCATCATGTACATATGCATATGTCCACTCCACAGCTAAGAAGATCTACAATCTGTGATCTGCTTTTATGTAACGCTTAATTGTCTATATTGCATTAAAGTTAAGGACTGATAGTTTAATAAGCTCTGTCATTTCCACTTTGGAGTTTCTTATTATCATCACAATTTACCTGTGTATCATTAGCAAAGGGAAATCAGACTTTAATGAGCCTTGATAACCAGCCTCAATGATTACTTGACAAGAAAAAGATCGGCAAAACCAACCCATCAAAAATAGGAGGCAGCTTTCTTCCCTACATCTGGTTCTGGCATCTGGCCTGAACTGCTTCCAAGTGCAGACCTGCTGCTCTTAGAAAAGCATCAAAGTGGAAATATTTCTTCACAGCTCTTGCATGGAGAAAGCATCATGAGAAAAATGTGTGTGAAAAAAGAAGCTGCCAGTGTTCCTGCATGATGCCACAGCCCTGTGAAAGAGTGAACAAGAACAACTGACTGGAAGATCTCATCCCCCTGAGGCCCAAAAGTACAAGCCCATATTTGCACAGCAAACTAATAACGTCCTTCAGCTCAGCCAAGCAGGCTGGCTTATATCCAAAAACGCCAGTAAGTGCCACCTCCAAGGGGACAGAGGTGCTTATTTGTAATCTCAAAATCCCTGTATGCTCCCAGTAGTACTGGGAGCCAGCAGTACTGGGCTTGGTGCTTGTTCTGCCTGCTTGTTCCTGAAATGCTGCAGCACTTTTGAAAAAAAGAGGACAGTGAGAGGAGTTTCAGGGAGCATTTCTGCCAACTGAAAGAAAAAGGTTGTAAAAATCCCTCCATGTCATATTTATGGCATAGCACTGGAGAGCACATTTAATATGCATTTAAACACCCATCAGACCTTTCGGAAAGTGCAGTGCCGTCTCCTCAGCGGGAAGAGAGAAATGCAGGTACGCCTGTTCTCTGACAGATCTGTGTTTGGGTGTGCAGTCACGAAACGTGGAGCGTGTGTGTGTGTGAGCGGGGCGGCATGTCTGGTCTATCGTCTCTGCCGATCCATGAGTAACACCAGCTGTCACATTCGCGCAGCATTGCACTGACCTCTAGTGCACCGAGAGAAACTCACACACCCTTGGCGGGGGGAGGGAATGAGGATGGCAGGGTGGCAAAAGGGAGTCAATGTGGCTTAGAGTGGAAGGGGGAGGGAATTACTTTTTTATAATTCGTTTTCAGGAAGATCTCTTGCTTTTTCTTTTGTGCTCAGCCTCTGTCTCTGTTGCCAAGACTTCACATCATGACTATTCTCCTTCTGTCTGAGGAGATCTAAATGCAGTTCCTGCCACATCTCAGTGACATTCCTCTGAGCAGCAGTAACAAAAGAGTCACTTGGGAGTGATAGAGAGCATCGAGAACTATTCAGCTCCGAAAGAACAGAGGGTGCTTTGGGGTAGAAATATGCTGCATTGGCAGAACTGCAATGTAGCATTATGGCAATCCTTGCCAGCCTCCAAGTGTAGTATGTTATAGCCAGTGCTTCCTCTGTCCTGTCTTCCTCTGCGTGCACACGCACACATACTCCTGACAGCACTCTGAGGAAATGTGCAGTGGTGGTACACACTGTTTCTGTGGCACTTACGGGGGAACATGAAAATCAATGAAGTTCTTAGGAACGTAGCCTTCTTGACTTCTGAGCTCAGCCTTGTACCACTCTTCCTGGGAGCTCAAAACCTGCGATGGAGAGATGGATGGAATAAATGTGTCTCTGGAGAAAGGTAAAGGTAAGCATGATTCTGGCAGAAACCTAGAATTTCTTGTAAGAAGAGAAGAGAACGCTCCACATGCTTTACTTCCCAGACACTGTGGAACAAGGTTAGTGGCTGATGACCACTTCAGAGCACACAAGCAGTGAAAAGCCCAAGTAGAATTAGACAGATTGCTTGTTAACCTTATCCCTTCATCTGACTGCCTGTGCAGGTGGCTGGGGATACTGTCTGTGTGTCTCTGATGCCTGTGAAAAGGAAAAATTCAGCTTTGAAAGACTTAATAGGGGTTTAAGTTATTCTCTGTGCTGCTTTTAATAGTTGGTACTGGAGCATCTCAGATTCACAAGGGAGGAACAAATATCTGTGATGGATATGGAGGGATATGCAGCTATATAGGCGTGTGTGTGTGTGCATTACAACTGCACAGATGTTACTATGTGCTCTCACATGTCATTTCACAAGAGATTATTTAGTGGGTTAAGTTTTCAGCTGCCCTGAGCTTTGCCAAGGTAGATGAAAGAAGGAGGCAAAAAGTATTTTAAAGACACTATTACGCTTAGGAGATTGTAGGATAGCAGGAAGTCAGTCCACAGCACACACTGAAGCAGCTTCAAGTGTGCTCACATTAATGTTAACTATAATGGTCCTTAGGAACTTCCCTGCTGACCAAGGACTGCCCAAATTCACTGCTCCCTGGCTGATGGCCTCTGATCCAGCCCTAAGCTAGAGGAGAGAGGACAGGAATACAACCATGCTGTGATTTTACAGCAAATGTTGTGGTCTTTGGTGTTTTGTTTGACATTCCAACTCCTGGAACAAAATTCCACTCTATGAAATAGAACATGTTTCTGTTCTTTCTGGTTTTGGAGAGGAGCCTAAAAGCATAAGCCATGACAGTTTTAAAAGGAGAAAGCAAGTGGAACAGACTTAATTTAAAATCTATTGTTAACAGTAATAATACTTATTTTGTGAGCCAATCTCATGGTTTTGGGAGCCTAAGGCACATTCTAACTACTTGGTGTTGGCAACAGGATGTTACTGTCTCTGGGGCCAATTCATTCCCTTCCCTGCCACGTAGGCCTTTTTTAAGCATTTGGATTCAGAAAAGTTAGGGAATAGAAAGCTGTGGAGTTCCCTACTTGTATAGTCACTGCTTTCCTCATGCCTGGGTGCTGGATTAAAGGCTCTTTTTTACTGCTGTGGCCGACCAAAGGGGATGATAGCTACTTCCTGCTCATGCTCAGGCCCTGCTCTGCTGGAAGCAAGGTTTCCAGAAAGACCCACCTGCTGTTTGTCACTGCAGGGCTGGCAGGTTTCTGTCAGTGTGTCATCCTCCCAGAGAAGGATGTGTGGGGGGTGAGAGGGTGGATTTCCTCCTGTCACTGCTGGTTGAGGGCCTCATGTTTCCTGTTTTCTAATCTCTACATCAATACTTCATCTTATCTCCTTTATAAATCAGCAGGTTGTTGCAGGCAGCAGGAGGGGGCTCGTGATGGGGCATGAATGTATGTGTGCGTATGCCAGAACAGAGTTGTTACTCAGGCTAATTTACTGCTACTATGGCTTGGGTGGCTAAGGTGTTATTTTGTTTGCCTCAAGGATATTAAAGAAAGAGGCAGTTTGATTTTTCTGGTAGTAAATTCTCTGTGCCAAATACTACTACTACTACTACTACTACTACTACTGGTGTGTAGTGTTATTTGACTCTTTTCATCAGTAGTTTCCAGTGTACTTTGAAAAGAAGCTCTAATTTATAATGATTTCACAGGAAGGGAAACTGAGGAACAGAATGAAAAGTGATCTGGCCAACACCATCAACTCAGCCAGGGACTTGATGGAAGCCTCCTGAGAATGGTTTCCTGAGAAAGAAGGTATCAGTTTAAGGTCACGGGATAGTAGGGATGTACTGGGGAAAAATTAGGAATAAGAGTATTTATCTGTGCTGAAGAGAGGCATTGATTTCTCCAAAACCTTCTCATAGCTCTTTGGAAAAATTCTGGATGCCACTTTGTCTAAGTGTCAAGAATTAAAAAGCCAATAAGATAAAAAACGGTGGTGATGGAAAAGACAAGGCTGAGACCCAATATCTGATTATTAATTGGAATATCTGGGACTGCACAGGGAGGTAGCAAAGGCTCCCTGGCCTAACAAGGGTTTATATACTATTGCCTTTTGGGCAGTGGAGGAATTAAGGCCTTAGAGAGGAGTAATACTGAGGCATTTTCAACTGAAACAGAACAGTTGGGGGCTGAGAAGTAGATAAATAATTAGGGTGAAACATTGAGTGACCTAATCTGTGGGACTTCAGTAGCATTAACAAGAACTGTTCTACCATAACACATACAAATCAAATTTAAAGAGACTTTCACATGCTCTGTGTTAGATATGATCAACTTTACTTTTGCCATTGTCCCCATTGCCAAATTCCTGCAAAAGTGTATATAACACTCTTGTGTTATAAAGCCCTTGTGTTATAGAGCCTGGGACCTCTTAAACTCTTCCATTATGTGTGTAACAGACTGTCTCATAGACTTTTCCTCTTCTATTTGCAATTGCCTTAAAACCCTGCAGCAACTAACAATAATTACTAACAGTGAAAAGTTAGATATAAGTTCTATAATGGATGATAATTATCTTTTAAATAGTTTAAGAGCTGGAAATAAGGAAGATGGCAATCTCTCTGGACTGCACTCATCCTGCCTGCCTTTAGACATAGTCATCTAAATGTACTCACTGTGGACTACTTATATAGTCAATGAAAACAGACAGGACCCTCAAAATCTGTCTGCCAAAGAACTTGATCTCTGCCTCAGCAAAGGTATTTATCCTTCCTTGCTGAGTACCAGAGAACTGCAGGGCAACTAAATCCATAGTTTATGGGCATAAAATCAGACAGTGGACACAGACTCAAGTAACCTGGGAACTATTGGTTGACCTACTGCAAACCCTGTGGGAGATGAGTAATCTGCATTTGTATTCTGGTTTATAGATGTCTGTCTTCATCTGTTTTGTCAAGGCAAATGGGAGCCTAGAAAGATCTGGCAGCAGTTTCAGAAATGCTGTTTAGTCAAGCCTGAGGCTGCACTTACCTTCAGCATATCCCCAGCTTGGAAACTCAACTCGTCTTCTCCAGAAGCAGTGAAATCAAACTTGGCGATGGCTTCCATACTGTGTCTTGGTGGCAGAGCAAAGCTGGAAGAAGTATATACTTGTCAACACTTATGAGCTGCTGGGACTGCAGAGTCTAGCCTCCTCAAAGCTTATAGGCAATGCTATGATTTGTATATGGATGAGCATGCACCAACCACTGGTAGACATTAGTTACTAGACATGGAAAGACATCAGCAGGTAGAAGAGAGGGCATGGATAAGGCTGTAATTAGCTCGAGTCAGAAGTTCAAACAACCTGTTGTGCATGCTTATTCCAAGAGATCTCTTTCTCTGCAGCAATCTCATGTGAAAAACCTGTATAGACCAACCACTACTCTGCCAGAGTTCCCAAAGAAGCAAGTGACTGTCGTGCAATAGAAAAATGCATTTGCCCTCTGCAGTGACTTACTCTTTTTCTCAAGAGTGAGACAAACTGTGGACAAAACAAACAGCCTGCAATAAATGCTTTTTTTTTCTTGGACAAGAGTCACATTACTGAAAACTGAGAGAGTCTTTTCTTTGTGATGGCTTAGCATGGGTGACCACAACTTTCAGTTACAAAAAACTGTTTACAGAAAGGCTGTATTCCCTATGATGAAGGAGGCAGAGACTTAGCTTACCTCAGCGTTGATAATCCAGGAGCCTGAAAAGTATTAGACAGCCTGCAAACCAAAGCCTGCTTTTCATCACCAGAGCAATGTGTCAGGGGAAGTGGCAAGATGAGCTTCGCTTCTTCACCACTTCCTGCTCATGTAACTTGGATGTACTCCAGCAGGACCACTTCTACAATCGAGAGTTACTGATTTCCCATGGCTGGCTCATGGACCCCATTGCCAGTGGTGAGGTTGCCAGTGACAAGATGAGAAAAAGGTAGGCAGTGCCACGTTAAGCAACTGCACTGCCAGTAGATGCTCTTGCAGCCCAGCTTTTGAAGATGATCAGACAGCGCTAATATAGAAGTAATTTTTATGATTACTAAGCTAGGATTATCTGGCAACAATGATCCTGAAGCCACAGGTTTCGTTACCTAACCTCACTTCTCACCAAAACACCCAGAATTTATGGCTTGAGAAGAAGTGCTAACTTGCCTGAACCAAAACATTCTTAACCAGAAAGCCCTAGAAAGAAACTGTATGAACAACCCTAGGTAGGGTTAGATATTTCTCGTCTCCTATTAGAACTGATACAAGATCCCCAAAAAGTGCTGATACTGAGCAAGCTCCAAAATTATGCCACTTTAAAATCAAAAGGCTACTTCTTTACAATACAATTCTCTACAATACCTCCTGTAATCTTTTGACACACAACCCAGGGATTTAACTATCTGTGTAACAAGGATCCAGGGCCCAGTTCTGATACAGTGCAAGTTAAACTGCTGAGAGTGAGCTAGGAGCAAGTTTGCAGGGCAAAAATTATAGACAGAGGTATGGCTGCTGGGACTGCACCAGCAGTAGCCCAGGGATTCAAAAGGAAAACGACCAATGTATAAAATCTCTGGGGAAAAAACAAACCCACATGAGGTTTAATTGGGACAGTCAGTCTAGCTGACGACTCATCATGAATCATTAGGGTTATTGAGTGGAGTTGTCATTGCCATCAGAGCTGACCCAGCTGGTGACAGATGGCAACCGTGGAGGTTGACTCTTCACTTCTGATTGATGCCTGCAAAGAATTTTTGGGTGCCTCTACAAAGGTGAGGAGTATGCTAATATTTAGCCTAATATTTCATTAAATCCTAACTAAGTTCTGTGTGTGCTAACTGTACAAAGCAGTTATTAATTGGCTAAGTTGTCTACTTCCTGCTGGCAGAGTTCCTTTGCACTTGACTAAAGATGCCTGGATAAAGTGATCCACAGGAGGGGTGGATAACATCACTGGATATTAGTTCTGAGATTTGTTACAACTCATTTCTAACTATAAAAATATCTTTACATGCTTCCTATTGGATTCTGTTAACACCCTCTTTTTTGCTGCACATAGGTGAATTTGTATTCATGTGACTGATAAGAGCTATGCAGAACCAAGGCAAAATTTTTAGTGGTCCACAGAGAGCTCTGCTTGTTCAGCATGAAACTGTTCTGCAGCAAAACTGAGGTTGCTGCAGTGTCGGGGCCTCCTGTGTAGATGTGAGTAAATATCTCAGGCTGCGATTCCAGCCTGTGCCTTAGGCTTCCAATATACACAATGCTGAACCATAACACCCTAAAGCACATTGGTGCTTTATTTTCAGTTTTCAGCTTTCCATCTATTCCAAACACTTTCACTCCCTGTTCTCTCTGTCGACTTACTGATGCTCTTTAGTTCTTACTTTGGATAACCTTTGCTAATTAGGTCCACCTCTGATTGCCCTACTCTTATTCCAAGGCACTGATGTAACTCTACAGGTGCAGCTCAGGCCTGATTTGAGAACTATCCTCTATTCTTGCATCGGCATTTTTGGAGCTTCAGTCTCTAAGCCTCCATAGCCAGTGTCAGCCCCTCGCATACTAACAGAGCACAGGGGTATTAAACCTTGAGGGAACTGGTTAAACAATGATACTCTTTCATGTAAGATAACTGAAGAAAAAGACCAAAGGAGAATTACTTTACTAAGGGCTGTTTTTCAGTATTTTATCTTGCAGTGGTGGCCTGCTGCAGAGAGATCAGAGCCAACAATGCAGATGAATCCTGGAACTCCTAAGTGCAGATCATTAATCCCAGCTTGAGGAAAAGAACACACTTAAAACAATAAACTATTTTCATACAAATCCTCTCTTTGATTTCTGTGCCTTAGACAGAGAGGAGACAGTGGGGGTTCTCTCTGGAGGGGATAAGAGAGTAGAGAACCTTTCATTTTTCTATATCCCGAATGTTAAAAGGTCTATTGGAAATGTGACCCCCCTCTAAAGGAGAACAGTTTGTGAAACAGTTAAAATCTTCCCTCTCACCTCCTCTTCAATTTCAGCAATCCCAACCTTGGGATAGAGACTGGGAGACAGATACCTCTTCAAACAATCTAACACATGGATTAAATGTGCTTTTCATTGCCAGCGGCTGGATTTAGAAGTGTCTCAAATACCATACACAGTGTTGGCTGTGTTGATAAATCAACAATGCAGTAATGCTCTGGCCTTAAGCTCTTCTCCCACCAACTACTAAAGCAACACTAGCCAATAATTCTGTCTTTGAACTCCAGCCTACCACTTTTCATCACCTGAACTTCAAACCAGTTCTGTTTTTCTGATCTTTTTTCTCCCTCCATCTGTAACTTGAGAATCCCCACTCCACATGGGTCAGTGCTGGGCCCTCATGAAAACTCCCCTGCCAAGAGCCCATTCTTTCCCTCTCTGCATGTACGTGACTCCGAACACTATCCCACAACACAGACAGAAATTTTTCACTATTATCATAACTTACATTTCTTAAGCACCTTTTATCCCAAAGGAGAGTGCTACCGTTTGCAGACAGAGCACCAAATTCTGCTTTTAACTGCCTGGTGCAACGTCTTTAAGCTTTTGAATAACCAAGGACAATTTTAGACTGCATAATACTTTCTGTGAAAATGCCTTTTACAGAGTTTAGCATGAAGCCTACACAGTGTTCAAAGCAGGATTTTTCAGTTCTGAGTGTGAGTTGACTAGTACCCTCCATTTTGTACTGGCTTTCTGCATGGAGGTGAATTTTCTCAGTGGTTCCCAATTGTAACAGGGCGGATCCAAGGGGCATAAGGCTACTGCAATTCTGTGGGATTGGTGCAACAGAAGGTTCACAAAAGGAGGAGTGAAAAGCAGCATGGCTTTCAGAGCACAAGGCAGGCATTTTATTTTGGCAGAATACCATTCCCTGAGCAAGAACATCAGCATCTCTGTTGATGGAAAGTGCCAAGGCCTAAATCATGTCAGGAAGCAACACAGTCTGACAGCAGCATCCCAAAGAGTTTAATACTGTTACCCTTCATCATGTTGGATCAAAATTCAGCAGTAACAATGCCAGGGAAGGTCACCACCTACAAAGAGTTTTATCACTCAGGAACTGCCCAGGCTCAGCCCTGCTCAATCTCACATATTAACATCAGAAGGAGAGTATAGTTATAACAATGTGCTCGCTTAAAGGAGCTGTATGAACAGAAGTTTTTATTTGTATGCCTGTAGCATAAAAAATACCACACATCTCCAGTCTGAAGCTTCATCCAGTGACGTTTTGCACCAAGATATACAGTGCAAGCTACTGTGTCTTTGTTCGGCTCTGCAAGAACAACCTATTGGACTGATGAGCAACTGGGGACAGGATTCAACTCTGAACATCTGTACAGAAACTCCAGGTGACATTTCAGCAGAAACAATGGAGAAGGGACCTGTTATCTAGAAAAGCTGTGATAGGTAACAGCTTTGTTTTCACCAGCTAAGCCACATACAAGTGGCATGGGAATATTTTGTTCCAAAAACACAAACCTCTTGCTATGGAGTTAATGGTGCAGCTCCACTGACTGTCAGTGATAAGAGGGTTTAATTTATAAGGGAGAACAAACCACTAAAACACTCAGAACTGCTGCATTTAAGTCCTGGCTATCCCGCCATCCAGAGCAACGCATAGCATTTGGGCTGAGCCTGTGTGCGAACAAAATAAGCCTCCTAGGAACTGGATTCACAAAACAAGCAGACTTTCAGGGCTCTGTAACCAACAGCAGTCTGTAAGAAACGCCCCAGACTAGGATGGTGCTTAATCTCCCTGGGGAACCTGGATCTTCTGTGCTAACTCCAGTCACGACTGAGTAGAGTTGAGCAGCAACATGGGAAGCTGGTACAACAGCAACCTTAAAGAGAGTAGCACAGTACCGCGTGATATTTTGAGAGTATAAAATCACAAATCTTTGCTGTGCTGAAAGAGCTGGTGGGGAGGACTAAAGTGGTGGGGAAGCACCTCCTTCTGTTTGCCCACCTCCTCCTTCAGTTTCCAGCTGGTCAGATTTGGCTGAGGCACAGGGATTTGTCCTGCAAAAGCACTTCCCTGTTGTGAAAACTGATAAACAAGATGGCCCTGGGATCCCAGTACTACTGCACAGTA